AGCTTTCTAATATATATATATATATATATATATATATATATATATATATATATATATATATATATATATATATATATATATATATATATATATATATATATATATATATATATATATCAATTTTAGCTTATCAAGGGACATCGACTAAAGAGGGGTTCGAGAGAAAGACCTGGCGTTACAAACTGAGGCAGGTCGAACAGTTGTCCGTTGTGTTGAGTTCCTGACAAACAGGCTATCATATGTTGAACGTTATTTCGATTTATGATCAGCCAGGAGCATTCACCAGCTTGAGCATTGGGATCACGTGCAGGGGCAAATCGTTCATATTTTTACTCACCGGAGGCTTGCACACAATGGAGAATCGTATGAAAAGAACGGCGAGCAGCAGTGCCATGTAGATCCGAAGCATCCATTTCATTTCGTAGCAAAGAGCAAAGATGAGCCCAATACCCTGGTTGAAGATGTCCACAAATGTGGCGCTCAGCAGGAGATTGCCGAAAATCACCGTCATGATCGGGTCCTTCAACTCGGTTTCCTTGACAATGTTGTAACCCATGAGGATTCCGCTTAGTGCCGACGCATCTGCCAGGATTACTCCTAGACATGTCATACCCGAGAGGGACTTCAGAATACTCTGAACAATCATCGCAAGCATGATTGCTTTCCGTGGGGTTTGGAACTGGTTTCTAAAAATGACTAGGGCCGGTCTCCTCTTTCTTTTAGACAGTCAAAACAAAGCCAAAGTCTATCAAACATCTTTGTGGTTATCATAAGCCATTGATACGGTAATGAATTTGTTTCTCAGATAAAGTTAAGCGAATATAGATACAAAATTGCCCAAATTAAGCTGGCATTACAACTCTGTCTGTGTTTATCTGTCGGTTTGCCATAATCGTCGCCTACTGTTCACAAATGAAGCAGAGATGTTTTTATCCAGAAGCGTGACTAACAATTTTAATGATCCGTTGTTTCAATGTCAAATTATAGCCAAGGTTCGTAGGGGAGAGTGGGGCAAAGCGGATGCACTCGGGGTAAAGCGGCCACCCATCGTTTTATGAGCCCTACACAGCTAGCCCGTCAGCTCCAATTTATGGTTGCCAATTATATTTATCTTCGCGGTCGCTCGAATGAGCCAGACCGGTGTTTCTGGCCAGTCGCCATTGTTCCGTGAAACACGGAAAAGCATTTCTTGTCAGGTTACTAACTATTTTAACGACTTTTAGATGTTAATAACCACCAATAATTTTATTTAAGCGATCTTGTTCATGGATTGTGTGGTTATCGTATAGATGTCTTTTACCAATTTTAATGCTTGTTGCCCCACTAATAGCTGAGCTGAAATATTTTTTGTCGCGGACGTTATGCTCGGGGCAGAGTGAACGGGGCAAAGTGGCCAGCTCCGAATTGGCCATAAGTTGTTTCCATCTGGACAGCAAATGTTATTGATATTGAAATGCATCGTACCAATCATTCATCTCGGCCAGACTTTTCGGTTACATTACATTTCGGTTACATATTGAAATGCATCGTACCAATCATTCATCTCGGCCAGACTTTTCGGTTACATTAATTACCAAACCTCGTTTAAACCTTGTCACCATCCTAGTCGTATAGTCGCCTACAGAATGATGTTCCACTCCTCAGAAGCTATCAGTTGACCGGAGCGCTAAGTTGTGCCGCTTATCACGCAATTAAAGTGACCATCCCACCTTAACATTAGTTTTGAGTTGAGATTACCAAAATGGTGGCCATGGCCTGCAAATACCGGTTTGGGCACTCACAGCATCGAAAAATGTTTTAATTCGGAGATATGGAATTTCAAACTTGCAGCTTTCGGATTCTAAGGGGCTAATGCATTGGAATGCCCCCTTAAAATTTGTGACGTCAGCGGTGATCTAACGATTTTAAAACCTTATACTAACATCTTTGTGAAGGAGTCCAGGTATATGCTATTTGCGCGCAACATCTGCCGCAAACGCCGCACTTCCCAAATGAAGTCGCTAGGAATAGCGGAGATCCCCCAAAAATAAACAAAAGTAAAAGTTTAATATCTTGAAAACTGGTGAATATTTTTCGGTGAAATTTGGTAGATATTCGTTTTTGCTCTTTCTGAACCGAGCGACATCACTTTCATGCCAATTCATCAACTTTTTTGAAGGTGGGAGGGTCCCTTTAAGCTTGTCGATTGTGAGCATTGGAACAAAGCTATAATTTGTTAACTCAGCCCGTGTGAGGCGGCACAGCCTACCACTCCAGGCAAATAATTGCCTGTGAAAGGTGAAACATCATTCTGTAGTCGACTATACACTAGGCAACTATTCTGTTTCTCATATCGAGTTGAGAAGTCGCCGGTGGACGCTTTGCCCAAGGGTATGGGGCAAATTGGCCAAAATGCAAAGGTATAAAGTTTTGCCAATATCTCCCATATGTGAACGCCTCTGGAAATAAAAACACAGTTGAAATAAAAGACAGTTTAACCCGCGCCCTGCTCGGGGGGTGTTTGAACATCCCCCCTTGGGGTTTTTCGCGAATATCTCAAAAACGGCGGCGCGGAGCGCCGCCGTTTTTGGTACACCTTACCATACATCAATTCTACACATGTTGTGAAAATTTCAGACCATGCCCTGAGGTCATCTTAGGTCACGAATGGTATCTAACAGTTTTTCGCAAATAACTTTTGATAGAGGCATGCTAGAGCGATGAAAACGCCTTAGATGTGTTCAGCTCGACGATACGGATCGACTGATATGCAACATGACCCTTTCCGGTCAGGTCATGACCTTGACCTGAGGTCAAATTTTCAAGTTGACCTTTCAAGGTCAAGTTATAGTTCATTCGATGCGTCTTGACAAAAGGAACACGATGCCGGTAAAAGTAAGCTCGTACAAGGCTTGGGTCAAAAGTTATTGCAGAAAACTGTTTTCGAAAAAATCGGCTATTTTTGCAGTTTTTGCCCCCTGCAGGCAAAACCGTTGACGTTAGGTCAAATCTGAGAGAATTACTCAGAAAGGGCGTTAATAGGGCTATCGAATGCGCTTTTCCGCGGCGCTGTAGCTCTATTGGTTCCCGAGTTATGCGTTGGCTTCTTGGAAATTTTTGACATTCGACCTGGAAATCGGCGAAATTTTGCCTTCAATGACCTCTGGTGACCTGACCTTTGACCTGACCAAAAAATTGACCGAAGTGATTTCGTCATTATTTTTTACGCTCTTTCGAACGCCGCCTTCCGCGTATCGCTACGTGGCCCAAGAGCCGAGTTACAAGGGGGGTGTTCAAACACCCCCCCCCCCCCCAGCAGGGCGTGGAAATCTAGGACCCCCAGCGGGGCGCGGGTTAACCCTCGCATGTGTAGGGGGGTCGGATGGACCCCCCCATGGTTTTTCACGAATAACTCGCGTAAAAAGCGGCCGATCGCGACGAAACTTTCAGTACCCTCGCATTGATCAATTTTACAGCTACCCTGAAAATTTCATGACCCTGACCCAAATGACCTTTGACCTGTGACCTCTTTTCCGAGACCATGTTTGGCCGGAATCACGATTCGGCGTACGTCGGTTCGCATTAGCCGCGCGTTTGCAAGATTTTCGTGGTTTCGAACGTTCAAACATGTGATGTGATGTTGCTCCCATGCATTAGGGTGGGTGTCAAGGTCACCTGAAGGTCAGGTCAGGTCATTGACCTTTGGTGACCTCGGGTGACCTCGGTTCACTTTTTCGAGTTTTACATGTTTCTAGGCTAGTTTTTGGAGCTGAATTCGAATTTAGCAACCACTTGAACATTTACGAAGTAGTTTTGGTGCCTTCGTAACATGTTACGAAGCTGTCAGAGGCGGTTGATACGTACTACGAATACCCGTCAGTGACCGTCACGACGCCTACTGGTTGACCGTTACGGTCCAAACTCCATAGACAAGCGGACATACGGTTTTACAAGAGTTAGGCGACGAAATACTCAGCTTAATTATTAAGTAATGGGCACCATTAGGTAGGCCATACAATTTTCTGTAGTACCGCATAGTCGCTGCAGTCAAAGGTGTTCTGGTTTTTATGCTATATGCCAAAGAATTTTTGCGTGTAATCACCGGTGACACGACATATTTCTGCTTTATTGGGTTGGGCGGTGAAGTCGATGACGTGATCACAATGAAAATGGCTTAGTTTTGTAGAACATTGAATTTTGATTCCGGCACGACTCTCGCTAGTCCATTTTTTATTATAAATAAACCATTAATTGCGGTACAAAGTCAAAACTAGCCCGAAACGGCGCCCGCAGCGGCCGTTAGCACAGCGGCCTTATGGTAAACAGGTTAGTTCACATTCCCGCCGCTATGCGAGTGGCGGCGGCGCCACCTGTCCTCATGTCCGCCTTGGACCGTAACGCCTGACCTGACCTGACCCGACCTGGTCTAAATGCTTAAAGACATCATCTGTGATCAAAACTAACACGATATTCGTGATCAATACCCCGAAAAACCCCTTAGCAGCCACACTTTACGACTTTCTAATAGGTCCCGATTTTCCCGACTTTGGGTCATTGACCTGACCTGGAAGGTCAACCAATGACCTAGGACCTTAAAATTGGGTATCATCGGCTTCCTCTCGTCACGGGCAACACGCTCGTTTTTTCCGCGAAGCTCTAGCTTGATCAGGGGCCAAACGGCAAGGGGGGATCCAACCGACCCCCCCCCCCCCCCCTACACATTAGAAGCTGGAAAACGCCGCACACATGCGAGGGTTAATAGCGATCATATTGGTATAGAGGGAATCTTTCCTGGTAATAAAGTCAAGCATCAGCATCGTAAAAAGCGTTAGGGTGTCCGCTTTGCCCCACTCTCCCCTACCTCGAAAAGGGGTCGATTACCTACAACGTTATCATGCCTAAAAGTGTGTACTTCCTCTCGAGGGTTACAGATTGCGTCGTAGGACCTTCGTAAGCAGGTAGCAGAGCTGTATGGAAACCGGTAATCATTTCATCTCATTGTGGCCCGAACAAACGCATCACAAATTTGTTAACTTCATTTTGTCAAATAAAACGCAAGTCGCGAAAGCAACATAACTAACACCACGAAACACTTATGATCACAGCAAAATATTGAAGATGCATGTAATTAAAGTTGCACATAACATACATATATAGTGGCAATACCAATATCCTCACGCCTTTACGAATTGCCAATAGATGCTGGTATAGCTACTTTCTAGTTAGCATAACCATGGTTAGAATTTGAACAGTAATCAAAGCAAATATTACGTGGACCTGATGCAATTAGCTTGACCGTGTGTATTAACAGTAGACATCGGTTTATGACTGCAACTTGCAAGAGCTTTAGTCATTTCATGCCTTATACAAGCACGTCGGCCGAACACAAAACGCCAGCCGTCAATCCATACAAATATCATCAAGCTCACTTGCAGCTCTGCCATATTAAGAGCACCACGTCCACACATTGACTTTAGAGACACACGTGGTGCCACCAACCGCTTTCGTCATTGTCCGTTCACCAGCCTATTGTCCGTAGGCGAGCCATGGTGATCGGGAGTGACCCGCGGGCCTGCGCCCCACTGCACCAGACCTCGGCGACAGTACACAGCAACTGCACAGGACGCTCGGTGGGTCGGCCTCCGACAGCCGCACCGGCGATCACCGGCCGCGCGCACTCACTTTGGTCCTGTGGCGCCACAGTTCTGCGCTCCCAGTCCGCCGAGCCCATCACGTCACCGGCCCGTGCGCGGACCTCAGCCTGACGTGTGAGGACCGTCTCGGTTCGCGGAACCGTCACATACCAGGGCGATGTTGGTCGGCATGATATGAGCCGGGCGGCACGGCCACTCGGGGCAGTTCATACGGCCGGCGCGGCCCCATATATCGCCGCGCATATGTCGCTCGGCGGGGCCGGGCTGCGCCGACGGCGATCTATGTGCTGTATAAACCAGCCTGGCCGGCAGTATCTGACGGCCCCGGCCCGGCTGCAGACCACAGGCCACTCCGGGCCGGGCAGGCTCGGACCCGACAGCCGCCGGACAGTCGCACCGGACAGGCTCGGACCAGACAGTCGTGCCGGACAGGCTTCGGACAGATGATCGCGGGTTGGACAGCTTGGGTGGCTCACAGTGATGGGACATCCCTGGCTGCCGACCTCGACTGTGGCTAATTCACTAGACGAAGATGCGTGGTTTCCTCCTGCCCTGTTGTCGCTCCCGCTGCCGCTCCCGCTGCCGCCCCCGCTGCCGCCCCCGCTGCCGCCCTCGCTGCCGAGGGCGTCCCTTCCGCCGGCCAGACGAAGGCCGGCCTGAAAAGTCGCGATAACCACACTGTTAGCCGGCGAGTATATGTACCGTGGCAAATGACATGTCTTCAATCAGTGTTGAAGGCATAGAACGCCCCATAAGTTGGCTCACAGGGAGCAGAAATGCGATTATTCAAAGAATAAATGCCTATCTCCAGGCAACATGTGTTGTTTGGGTCGTATAAATTTTAAACAGATAATAGTTTAAAATATTGGTGTTTTAAAGTTTTATGCAAAGGTTTATGGTGGTCAACAATATAGCAGGGTTAGCCAGCTACATTTTGTTTACAATGGCCATGAACAGGTGCTTTACATTGTGGGTTACGGGCAATTATTATGTATGTACATACATAAGAAATATACAATTGATTAATAATCATTACCTGCACTTTCATATTTTCGGATGGCTGGAGAAAAGAACTACATTAGTTGTGTGTTCACATTCGCTGATCTTATTAGGCAGGCGTAGGTACATTCTTTCACGACAATGAGTAAAACAAAAACAGACTCCTTAGGAACTCATGAATAGCAATTAGGTTACAAACGGTCATTCAATCTAATCGCTTTGCATCAACAGTCAACGAGTGCATAGCACTGTAACCGTAAAAAGCGACTGATATAAATCAGACTGAGCAAATCAGTGATATTCTTCTGGTAATGTGTTAGGTCGGCTTAAACAATATTTCCTGGCTGTTTTATGTTTGGAGGCTGTTTTATATTTGGAGAACTCATTCAGTCGCTGACTAGTGCGCCGGAGTGGCCGAGTCCATCCCGCGGCGATGAGACGGGGGATTCTCAGCGGATACGTCACTCGGTCCCTCAAACGGTCACCGTGAGAGCGTGTGGGTGCCTGCAAAAAATGTCCTTTACCAGTACGCTGACCGTCCGTCATTCCGGACAGGGTTTTAGGACAAAGGGTACAGGCGGGGGGGGGGGCTGAGGATAGTTAGAATGGATCAGCATTTACTGTTTTGATGATGGGGTAAGGACATTTTCGAGCTTTTTTTCAACATTGAACAAGCAGGTCATGCTTTCCCACGCCGGTGTAAAAAAAGCTTATCGCCATGCAATGTTAGCGTTGTATCATGCTGCGTCTAATCGTAAGGGAGGTAGCTACTAGCTGGTAGGTGGGTGTGACCAACAGCCACCGGAGCACCCGCGCACTTTATCTGCCGACTGCCACCCTATGGACGATGACCTAACAACCATGTTGTCTCTAGTAGCCCGGTATAGCCCAACTTACCAGCTCATGCACCGGAGCTTGGCTCAAAAGCGCTGATCTGCTGCCAATACCGGCAATACCTCCGCAGCCCCAGCACTGCATGCAGCCTCCACCGGCTACCGAGCGAGTGACTTGTGGCGTCATCTAGGCGAGTCGTGCTGCTGCTAGCAGCGCTACCTGTAGGGACGTGGGTCGTGCAGCGCCCTCTACTCACATGCACTCTAGCTGCGTGTCCGTGGACGGTGTCGGCGGCGGCCCTTGCGCCAGCGTCCCTTCCTGCCCCTCTTACGTTTGTTGCAGCGACGTCCGAACCAGCCCCTGTCGCACTCGCAGCGCGAGCCGACGCACTGTCCGTGGCGGCAGCGGCGACACGGCTGGCGTGCCACCACCTCGCAGTGGTCGCCCGAGTAGCCGGACCGGCAGCGGCACCGGTTGACGCCGCGGCACCGGCCGCCGTTCTGACACGGCACCAGACACTTGCCTGTGGGCAGACGAACGTGCCGGGGCACAGGTGTTAGGCTGCTGCCAGTGCTGCTGCCAGCCGGACATCATGTGACGACATCAGCGTACTGCTTATTTTGTCGGAGCATATTTGTTTAACTGGCAACAACTTTAGATACCTAACATGGAAAATGTCGGCTCGGGAGGCCGGTTGTAAGTGCAGTTGAGTACAGCGGATATATCTCCTGAGCATAAAAAAGCACTGAACAGTGAACTGTAATCTAGAAACGTGCTACCAATTTATATCAAGCGACTGCGTAGGTATTACGATATTATCCCGAGATCTTTTTACATCAATACCTTGAATCTCCATTATACCTATGCAAGTTTAACTTTGAAGGAAATAGCATATCGATGTCTAGCAAAACTTAGATGTAAACCGACAATAAACACAACCATCTTTTGGCGCTCTCCTCTGAGTGCTCAATCATAATTATCTAGGTCCGAACAGCTAATTATCGTTCATGCCTAGGCAAGAAGAAATGAGAACAGCACATATTGCATCGGCCATGCGGACAAGATGATGCTAGAACATCACCAGCAGCTGGTCGAGCAGACAGGCAGCCCACCCAGCGCCCGCCGCCCCGACACTTACTGTACTGGCAGCGGGGTCCGTAATAGCCTCTCTTACAATGACACGTATCCTTTTGTATGCATTTACCACCGTTTAGACACCGTTCATGACAAATACCTGTGGGCCATGAGAGTGTTCCGTCAGTGTTTCGGCGGGCCCTCATCAGCAGTCGACCGCCCGCCTGTTCCACGCCACGACAGCCGGCTCTCGGCGCAGACAATAGGCGGCAATTCAACTCATTAGCTGCCGCCGCATCTCTAATGCAACGAGGCATTATCTCACGATTATGAAAATAATGTTGCAATGAAAGGTTGGTTTATCTTGGACGAGCCGGTAATTAACTATCGACAAACCCTTTCTTTAAGGTTTATGGTGATACGTTGTCACTGATAAGTTGAAGATATTATATTTATTCTTCCTGTAATGAGCCATGATCTTATGACAATGATTATGGCAGGAAATATCAACGATTTTTTACCGAAGACTTGCAGGCTTCGCAAAACAAACGAGCAGACAGAGATGCAAAATGCCTGGACACGCCAACCCATTCTAAACGGACATAGCGACGTCTAAAGGACGCTGCTCATCAGAAGCCGGCTTAGCAAGGTGTCCCGTTCAGTCACATCTTATTGCCCACATCCCTAGCTCTGCCATCGTGTCGTCCGATTCAGGGTTTGTCTATTCTAGTTCAGGTACGGTTAGATCCGGCCATATAAGGTCACTTCAGGTGATGTCAAGTGCAGTCGGAGTCCAGACAGGTGTTACGTCAGATCAGGTCAAGTTCAGTTCAGTTCAGCTCAGTTCATTTTATTGAGTAATAGATACAAAACAACTGACAAGTTCAGTGGTGGATCGGCCAAAAGATGAACTTGAAGTGGAAATAATAGAAACAAAACAACTAACAAGTCCATTGGTGGGTCATATGTCCTCGGGTCAGGTCAGTTCAGGCTGATCAATGCCGGTCAGGTTAGGACAGGTCAACTGCGGTCTGGTACGCCGCGAAACTCCACCAATCCCCCCCCCCCCAACACACACACACCCACACCTGCTCCGAACTGCACTCACCTCCTTCGCAGTGCGGGCCCTGATAGCCGAGCTGACACTCGCACTTGCCCGGCTTGACGCACGTGCCGCCGTTCATACACTGCGGGTAGCAGAGCGCCATGTTGCAGTACTTGCCCATGTAGCCCAGCGGACACTGGCACTGGCCGTCAGCACTGCAGAAGCCGCCGTTGCCACAGCGTTTGTCACACTCGGGATCTGGCCCTGGCGGAATGGCACCTAGTCACACTCGGAATCTGGTTGCATGACATCACTGGTCAGGAAGGGTCCTGGCGGAATGGCGCTGTAGTCAGGGCGGACCCTGGTGGAATGGCACCTAGTCACACTCGGGATCTGACGGAATGGCGCACATTAACCTTCCAGGCGGTGGGGGGGGGGCATTTTTTGCCCCCCCCCCTTTAGTTTTTTTTTTTCAATATATCTCGAGAACCGCTGCGCTGATCGTCACCAAACTTTCAGTACCCTCCCGGGAGCAGCTAGCGCACATGGTGACCAAAAATTTTTCCAAAGGCTATGATAGGTTGGCCGCTAATGACGTCAGAGTGACGTCATTTTTACCATTTTCGACCCAAAAAAGGTTTCGCGGGAAGAGCTGTCAGGCCTACAGCTTTAGAGATACAGAAAAATGTTTCAGACATAAAAGGTGTAGAATCAAAAGGGCTACAAAACTGCTATTTCGGTTTTCGATTTTTTTTTTATTTTGACCCCCAAAAATCAAAAAATAGATTTTTTAATATAATAGCCAAAAAATCCAAAAAGTTTTTTGAATTTCGAAAAAACGGCATAAATGTGATAGTACCTATCGCCTTCTATCTACATACAAAATTTGAGATCGATACCTCTTTTTTTGGCCAAGTTATAGCGAAAAAACTGTTTAAAATTGATGACGTCAATTTTTAGCAATTCTAGACCTCGTAGCGCAAAACAAAGACCACCATTAGACTCCCCGTGACGAGGTGCATCGAATTGATACCTATTTTATGTAAAAATATCAACTTTGAATTTTGACCTTTTTTGACCTGACCTTGACCTGACCTCCACCAGAAAGTGACCTAAACCGTACCTGATGGTCTTATAACAACCACCATTGAGTTGGAAATGAAAAACTGGCCATAAAACATGCATCGCATAACTTTAGTAAAGTTGGGCTCACGTGGTGACCCTTGGTGACCTTTGGTGACCTGACCTGTGACATGACCTAGTATGACCAGTGACCTCTAATAGCAACATATGTACTAGACAACTGACGCCTTATCGTTGATTTTCGACAAAATGCGTTTTACTCGGTGTTATAGCGCTTTCCCTAGAAGCCCCGTGAACGGTGAAACATTTTATCTTTGACCTGACCTGTGACTTCATCGGTGATCCCGAGGTCAATGAAATTTGGTTTCCTTCGACAAATTTGACAGGGCTATCGAACGCCGTTTGAATTTTCCGGATCCGTCCAGTAGTTTCGGAGATACGGGAGGGGGGCAAAAAATGCTCCCCCCCACCGCGCGGAAGGTGGCTGGTAGGCCCACCTCCTGCCGGGTTAAGGAGGGGTCTGGCACTGGCAAAATGGCACGCAGGCCGGGATCTTGCATGCTATAACCCTCGCCCGCACATGGGGGGGGGAGGTTGCCACCCCCCCCCCAGGTAGTCTTTCTGCTCTGCACTCAACATTTTTAGAGCTAGAAGGCTGATTTTTCGTATAGCTGCTCCTCTATCCTTTCTTGATGTCCACTGAAAATTTCAAGTTTCTGTGATTTTTGGTTTCGGAGATATGACCTTGTTTTTCAGGTCATGTCATGACCCAAATGGCCAATTCTCAACATCTTGCGTTTGCCATGGGCCTTATGAGCTTTTGACACCCTGATTTCGGCCTTTTTTGCCAGTCTTACCTCCTACCTATCATGGAACATGTTGTTCGACGATGTACAGGGGTCAAGGTCAGGGTCAAGGTCAACCTAGGTCACCTAAGATAATTGCGTTTTAGGCAAGCTGAATTTACTTTTTTTGAAGTTTTTTGACTGCATTTTTGGTAAAAGCTTCTCAGATCATGATTTCATGTAATATGGACCCAAAAACAATCGGTGCACACATCAGTATACACACAGACACACACAGACATACAAACACATATAATTGACCTTGACCTAACTTGACCTGAAATGACCTCAGCAGCAAAATTCTGGTCGGGTAGTGTGACAAAGAGGTTCTAGCTGGCTTGGCACCAGAAAACAGCATCGTCATCGGTATTTGATAAGCAGCACACTTGATATCCAACGGTGACCCAAAACAGCAACATTTTTTAGTTTGACCTGACCTGGAAGGTCAATGACTGACCTGAGAAGGTAAAACTGGGTATCATTGGATTCGTCTCTTCCCAAAGAATCTTTTTGGTCTTTACTGCTAAGCTCTATCTCCAACAGGAACGAAATGGCGCGGGGGGGGGTGGCAACCACCCCCCCCCCCCCCATGTGCGTTCTAGGATGGGAAAATGGCATGTGCGGGCGAGGGTTAAAACTGTGAGCTTACGGGCAGCCTTAAATATAGCAATATTGTATCAACTAACGAATGTTTGCATAATAAGAGATAGTTCTAACTTCTGACAACCACGCGGCGATCGGACGACGCGCCGATGACCCACGGCGTACCATGGCTAATGCGGCACTCCTTCTTGAGCCGCAGTCGGAGTGGCATGCCCCGCACGCGCCGTCCTCGGCGGCGGGTCATCACGTCCAGGCCGACGGTGAAGAACACGACGCCCGAGACGTTTCCGACGCACGGCAGCACGATGGAGAACACTGCGGTGGCGGGGGAGAGTCGGAAGGAGTGGTCAGTAGTCAGTACCGTTCAATGCAATTCTTCAAAGCAGTTCAAAGAGAATGGCAATTCAAGAGATGCTGAACGCTTATTAGTATTTAGTGAAGGAAGTAATCAGGAGCAGATTTTTCTCCTCAAGACTTTTCTTTTCATATTACCACAAGTTAACCCGCGCCCTGCTGGGGGGGTGTTTGAACACGCGTTTTTCGCAAATATCTCAAAACGGCGGCGCGGAGCGCCGCCGTTTTTGGTACACCTTATCATACATCAATTCTACACATGTTGTAAAAATTTCAGACTAAGGTCATTCAAGGTCAGGTCACCAGGTCACATGAAGTGACCTCACCTCATAAAAAGTTTCAATGTCTGTCATAGCTACACCGAGTGACCGATCGCTTTGAAACTTTTAGCGATTGCTAAGAGCAATAGCATGTACAAAATGTATATCTCAGAATTTTGATATCGATGACCTAAGGTCAGTTCAATTTTGCGACCTCCCCATTATAAGTCAATGGGAGAAAATTGAAATGCGTCTCTTTTGGACGAAAGACATTATAAACACTCCCAAACACTGAATTACAAGTGGTTTAGACACACTGAACATGAAAATGGTGTTCGTGACCCCTATTTATGCCCTGAGGTCATCTTAGGTCACGAATGGTATCTAACAGTTTTTCGTGAATAACTTTTGATAGAGGCATGCTAGAGCGATGAAAACGCCTTAGATGTGTTCAGCTCGACGATACGGATCGACTGATATGCAACATGACCCTTTCCGGTCAGGTCATGACCTTGACCTGAGGTCAAATTTTCAAGTTGACCTTTCAAGGTCAACTTATAGTTCATTCGATGCGGCTTGACGAGAGGAACACGATGCCGGTAAAAGTAAGCTCGTACAAGGCTTGGGTCAAAAGTTATTGCAGAAAAACTGTTTCCGAAAAAATCGGCTATTTTTGCCGTTTTTGTCCCCTGCAGGCAAAACCGTTGACGTTAGGTCAAATCTGAGTAAATTACTCAGAAAGGGCGTTAATAGGGCTATCGAATGCGCTTTTCCGCGGCGCTGTAGCTTTATTGGTTCCCGAGTTATGGCTTCTTGGAAATTTTCGACATTCGACCTGGAAATCGGCGAAATTTTGCCTTCAATGACCTCTGGTGACCTGACCTTTGACCTAACCAAAAAATTGACCGAAGTGATTTCCTCATTATTTTTGACGCTCTTTCGAACGCCGCCTTCGGCGTATCGCTACGTGGCCCAGGAGCCGAGTTAGAAGGGGTGTTCAAACTCCCCCCCCCAGCAGGGCGTGGAAATCCACCCCCAGCCGGGCGCGGGTTAAACCACATAACTTTCGTACCTGCTAAAAAGCTTGAATTCGTCAATATTTTTTACAATAATTAAGCTCAAGCCCATGTGCTATTTCAATAGGGGCAGGTGGAACGTTGCATATAGGCAAGTGCTCCACTCACTGCGCGCCTTCTTGGGCACCCGTCCGCTCCTGTTGATGGATACGATGGGCGGCATCAGCACGGTGGTGTCGTCAGAGGCCAGCTCGTAGAAACTGTAGTTGTAACGCCGTCGGCCGGAGCTCCAGGTAAAGTTTACGTAGCCCACCTGTGGGTGACACGGGGAGTTAGGGTGGACATGGGCAGCGTGTTGCAGACAGGCCGCGCGGTTAGTGGGTGCAGCGGCGATCGCAAGTCAAACGGGGGCAATCGTCGATGGCATCTGGTCCGGTTTACTGTTTAATAGTCGTCTGACAATCTGTGGTATTTCCCCTGTCCATCAATGATCAGACATCAGTCCGATTTTTCTTGGTCAGTTGGCACGGAGCCCCGTCTGTGCACGGCGTCGGGAACACGACCAGGAAAAACGCATAAATATAAGTATCCTGGGTGCTGAACTCAGCGTGGATGTCGTTTGCGATGGAGGCCAGTCCTACCTGTCCGTATGGTCGTCGGTGTCTTAGACTGCTGGTCGGCTCACGTCCGTCTGTATGAGTAGGTGCGCATGTCTGTCTGTCGTTCTATTCGTGCGTGCGTCTTCCGTCTGTCTGTCGGTTTGTCGATCGGTTTTGTCTGAATATTGTTTGTCTGAATATTTGTCTAAATGCTGTTTGTTTGTCGTTCTATTTGTGCATCTGTCTGTATCTGTATGTCTGTCGGAGACTCTCCGACGGCCGCACCTGCTCAGTGCACCGTGATGCAACGACCCGTCTAAATCATTGTCACATGAGCGGGCCAGCCCGGTCGGCTGCCTTCCAATGAACCCGGGCGCGGAGCGAGGTCAGTTATAGATGGCCGGACAGACGGGCGGGCGCCGCCCCCCCCCCCTCCCCCCGACTCCGGCGGCTTCAGCTGGCTCCCGATCCGGACATGCCGCCGGACGACCCCCGATGCCGGTCATGGAGACGGGAAAGACAGGAGAGGACAGGGTAGGACAGGGCAGGACAAGAGGGCAGAATGGGACAGGACAGAACTGAGCAGAACAGGACAAGACAGAACGGGGAAGAACGGGACAGGACAGGACAGGACAGGATAGGACAGACCGGGAGATAATAGAGCAGGATAGTAGAGAACAGGACAAGACATGACATGGCAGGACATGACAGAACAGGACAGGACAAGCCAGGACAGAACAAGACAGGATATGACGGGTCAGGACATACCTACCTATCAGGACAGGGCAGGACAGGCTAGAAGAGTAGGTATCTATTGAACTGGAAGCGACAGGCCAGGACAAATCAGGACATGATAGGACCTGGCAGGACAAAAGGGCGGTCTGACCAAAAGCAACTGACTGGGGTGGCTTCGTTCCTGTCTTTTCTTGGAAATTGAGCATTGTTGGACATCCTAAGAGCTGTCGTATGCATATTATGCACGGCCTATCTTTTTCTTTTCTTACGGGACATACCCAGAGCGTGTCCCTATCTAACGGCGCCGGAGAGGTAGAGTACTGTCGCGGCCGCTTTCAAATAATATGGGCGTCTTCCAGGGATCTGCCCTGGGACCGCTACTTTTCACCATATTTTCGAACAACCTCTCGCTATACGCAGGTGACGCCACCGTTTTCCAATATGCGGACGATACCCAGGTTCTAGTGAGCGGCCGTGCCGACGACCTCAGATCGCTTATCTCTCGCATGGAAGCTTCACTCGCATCAATCAGTGACTGGTTCTGTCTTCACGCCCTCAAGCTAAACGCAAACAAAACACAACTCATGGTTTTCGGCAGCAGACAAAATTTACGGAAAGTACCCGACTTCAGCGTCTCTCTTGGTGACTCTGTGTTGCAGCCATGCGAGCAGGTGGGGAATCTGGGTGTTGTCTTTGACAGCGCCCTGTCCTGGGAAGCACATGTGTCCGAGCTTAGTCGACGGTGTACTGGCTTGTTGATCGGACTGTCTCACGCACGAAATTGCCTCCCTGACGGTGTCAGTTCTCGTTACATCTCTGGTCATATCACGAATCAACTACTGCCTCACTGTGTACGGTAACGGGACTCAGAAAAATTTTGACCGACTCCAGAAAATTTTGAACTTTGCCGCTAGAGTGATCTTCGGACGGCGTAAGTTTGACCACGTCTCGGACCTGCGCGACAGACTTGGCTGGCTATCACCAAAATCCATGTCAGATTACCTGACATTCACGATCGCGCAAAAGGTCATTAAGCATGAAGAGCCTGAGAACCTCGCTGCACTTTTCGTCCCCAATCAAAATTTTCGAGACCGGCACACACGGCAGGATCATCTCCTTCATCTTCCCCGACCGAGGCTTGAAACCGGAAAACGGCGTTTTGAGTACCGCGCCGCGGCGCTGTTAAATAGCCTCCCACCCCAGGTAGTGCAGCTGCCACCTGCCAGCTTCACCCGGTCTGCCAGGGCCGCCCTGATTAACAAATCCCCGCTACGCCGCTGACGAGTCTGTTTAGTAGTAGACAAGGCATGCCGCCAATAGGTGGACGATCTGTTTGCAGGCGCGGATACAAGGGGGGGCCATGGGGGCCATGGCCCCCCCCTTGGCCGATTTTTTTCAAAAATAAAATAAAAAGTTAAAAAGTTAAAAAGCTGAAAAGGGGGCCTCTTGAAAATAAAGTGGCCGAAATCCGATGAGTTTTTTTTTTAACCTACCCACTTAGTTATTTCTTAGAAGACTAGCTGAGAAGACTTCTTTGTTAGAAGATTGGTAAAGCTTTTCATAACTTGGAGGTCTCTTATACTCACAGAGATGACCACTTTTACAGGGCCTCCTAACCTGCACAGAGGGCCTCCAAGCCTGCACAGATGTTGAGATGTTGCCTGAACAGCTAGATAAGCTCAATAGACGCAGTTTTTTTTTGGGGGGGGGGCCAACAAGTGGGAAGATGGGGCCTCCAACAGGTGGGATTATGGGGGGGGGGGGCTCCTGGTTTCTGATGGCCCCTCCCTTGGAGATTTTCTGGATCCGCCCCTGTCTGTTTGTGCTTATATATATATATATATATATATATATATATATATATATATATATATATATATATATATATATATATATATATATATATATGTATATATATATATATTGTTTGTCATATGTACATATGTAGATGATTATTGTCGCGACCCCCATCGATGGATGACTGTCGTCTAGTGCTGAGTGTTCTTCCCCCTGCCCGCATGATTGTTACCCATTATACTTGGATCTAAGCCGTAATCGCCACGCCATATGTGGAGGGCTTTTGGTGTCAATACAATACAATACAATCAGGGATGCGGAGCCGTGGAAATTTCAGACGGCTCCGGCTCCGGCTCCGGCTCCGGAGAAAAAAATCGGCTCCGGCTCCGGCTCCGGCTCCGGGTGAAATGTCATGGCGGCTCCGGCTCCGGCTCCGGCTCCGAGTAAAATGATCCGGCTCCGGCGGCTCCGGCTCCGGCGGCTCCGGCTCCGGCTTCTACTCAGTACATCCCCTATGCGATCAATTAAATACGGGTGGAAGAAAAAAGGCGATAGGATTGGTACACGTTGCTTCTGTATTTGTATAACAAGGCTATTTTGAATACCAGATTGTTTTACGCCTTTTACCTACTGTCAAACCGAATTAGTAAATAATTGTTTCCTCTTAAGAAAAGGAGCCGTAGTCGCCCCCTTTTTGACGACTCCGGCTCCGGCTCCGGCTCCGGGCTATATTGTTTCACGGCTCCGGCTCCGGCTCCGGCTCCGGGCAAAATATGCCGGCTCCGGCGGCTCCGGCTCCGGCTCCGGCTCCGGCTCCGCATCCCTGAATACAATACAATACAATATCTTTTTGTAATAGCGGCTATCCTACGTTCCTAATTGTATTAATCATGGGTATTTTATTTTACAAGTGGAAGCCCCAGCAGGTGATTAAAAGTTCAGCCTCGATGTTTCAACATTGGAGTGATGGTCACAGATATGATGATCAAAAATTGATTGTGCGTAAGCTTTGTCTAAATTGATTGGCCAAACTTTGCTCTGAGGTCGCCTTCAATGATTATTGATATGCTTATTGTTGTCAATTATCAGCTTGTGGAACAGCCTTAAGACTGCAGTGGACGTTTTCACTGCGTGCCTATTCAATGGGTTTCTTCAAATCGAATTAGACTGATAACACTTTCGCCGAGGGATGTCCGTTGTGCTCGCTAGTTTATGATAATTATGGATGGTTTATTGCATGCATTTCTCGCGATCAAGTGATACACCATACTATCTATGAGCGTTCTAATTATAGTGAGGAGTTACCATTGTCGTAACGTGTAATCAACAAACTTCCAATGATGCTACTTTGACAAGTTATTGCCGTGCCGTTGCAATGAATTTATAACGAGTGTTCAGTGTTCACTCTACTCAATGAAAAACATCGTTGAAACTGTCCTAGCCTTACAAAAGTCAGGGGAATTCCTGAAGAATGCTATTCGTATTTACTGTTCTGATGAGAACGATGAAACTAAGCCGTATTCAGTTTCCAGCGTAGGGTAAAACGTTCGTCTTTTCATTCTGCCACGTTTTCCGGTAGTTTTGTAATCAAAGGTTATAATACCTACACTAAATTGAAGAGGAACAGCAATAAAATAAGTAGCAATGTGGCCTATGAAGTCAACTCTTAACACATTTCTTCATTTGGATAAATGGATGAAATGATAATTGACATGAATCGATAAATGAATAAACAAAAATAATAACAAGAAAGTAACTCATTTATGGACACATGGTAAGGTATTAGGAGACCAAATATTTCCAGATTGCGATTGGAAAAAAACTTACGAGGCAAATCAAAAGGTACATACCTAGAGGTTATGACTGTAACTAGTTACAGGCTAAAAGAAGAGGTAAATTTGACTTTCAACAAGCGAGAAACAATAACCATTGATCCTAGTCTATATTTCATCCCCGTATGACCCTCTATTACGTAGAAGCTGGAACAAGTCATCGACGCTCCTTCCATTATAATGACGCATGAGTGAAACCCGGCGAGTTTGCGGTCGCCGTCCGCGCTGATCCACCGGCACCATCAGCCAAAGCCGCCCATCGCCGCCCGGTCCCATGGACCGGCTGCAGAAGTCATACATTTCGCTGCAAGCCGCAATAAGTTGCACTTCTGCAGCGAACCAGCCGACAAATCGTGAATTAAAACAACATATGTTCTCAGTTAATACCACCTGACATGCAATTAGCACCGCCAAATTGAAATAGGTACGAGAGAAAATTAACGCAGCCTAGGCAAAATCACTTGCATAGCATAACTGCAGAAACCGTTTCATTATTAGGTCCGTTATAGTGGTTAGCAGGGGCCGTAACCTGACTCTGAATTTGGTGGTAACGTCCTTCCAGATCTGCACCAGACTTGTAAACGACTCTGAGTTGATTCGTGAATCGACTCAGAATCAAACCGTTTTTCGATGAGTCATGAGTTGATTCGAGTCACTTCATCGAGGAACTTGATGAGTCATGAGTTGATTCGAATCAATTGAATTTAACATCATGAGTCATTTGATGAATCGATTCAAATTTTCAGACTCAAACAAAGAATCGACTCAAAAAAATTTGAGTCGTTTACAAGTCACCATAAACACCCTAATAATCAATGCTAGATCACCCCCTCAGCTTTAGCAATCACTTAACTCCATATTTCAGACTTACAAGAGCCTCAGAGGCTCAGGCACAGGCGCCTAATGAGCCAAAAGCATTTGGCAGTTGGTAGGTACTTAGTCTTACCAAACCAAGTGCCTGCTACACTACCTAGGTACCTACATTTTACATGTCAGAAGTCAGAATTGACACCTGCGGCTGCCTCCCCTTCTCCCAGTCCCAATTTGGTCCCAATAATCAATCAACAGCATAAGAGTTTGGGCCTCTATTGAGTCAAATACGCCCAAACTACCTATAGCCTATAAACTACCTATAGGCTATGCTATAATATAAATAAACTCACCTGTAAACCACAAAATTGCGATGCTCAACTGCCAATAAACCACAAAATGCAGATTTTCCCATGAAATATAGAAGTTTAAAAAGAAACTTGTTTTATGACATCATAGAATCTTCAGAATAATGTAAAGAAGCGGCTTTGAAATATTTTATCAGCGATCTCCATTGGCCTAAAATATGTACTATGAGTGACGTCATGAATTCGAGAATAGAATGTTGAAGTCATAGTAGTTTTAAGAAAACTACATTAATGGCGCAGTTGATAACTATCACGTCTGAATCTCGTGACAAATTGGCCGGATGACGTTGCCCGAATTAATGACAATTTATTTTTACCAAAAGAGCCACTTGGTCAGTGCTCCGGTGCTCCTGATATCGATTAATATTCAATGACGTCATTTTTAATCTAAAATTGCTCAAGATCATATCTGATTCTGAGGCCTGAGCCACTCATGCAAGGTCATGGACTCCTCGTGGCCCATGGAGCCCTGTTGATGCTGAATGTTTCACAGGTGGGATTAATCCTATTTTTGAGGTTGTACTGTTTGAATAATTTTATCTGATAAGTAAGAAGTAGTAACATTTGTCTCATTATCATGTAGAAAAGGTTTGATTAAAAGAAAACCTCCTCTTGGAACTTGTGCTTTTGAATTTTCAAATAAGACTTTCTAGGTAATAATAAGAGATAGGTTACTATGCTACTCCTTAGTCCTTACTTATATTATAATTGTCTCTCAGAGTTACTTACAAATTTATCTGACATTGCACTGTTGAGTGTTGAAGATAGGTAGGTGTAAGGTAGGTACCTATGTACCTAGTCCTACATAGGTAGCTGCTTGAATCTTTGGTCAAGGCTACTATGCTTCTTAATACAATTGTGGTATGCGGCATATTCATTTTATCATAGCTTTGAGTCAAATAATCAACAAATGCCTATAGTGAGTCATGGGTTGAATGAAATAAGTTCAATAAAAATGTCGTGTGAGTCATGAGTTGATTTGAATCGATTCATCAAAATGTGTGAGTCATGAGTTGATTCGAATCATTCCGTTGGCTAGTTGCTCGAGTCATGAGTTGATTCGAATCATTTTATCGAGGAACTTGATGAGTCATGAGTTGATTCGAATCAATTAAATTTAACATCATGAGTCGTTTGATGAATCGATTCAAATTTCCAGACTCAAACAAAGAATCGACTCAAAAAAAATTTGAGTCGTTTACAAGTCTGATCTGCACCTCATCACGGCCACTTCTCCGCATTGTCTGGCGAATGGATGATGGAACGGAAGAGCTGTGAAATTCGCTCGCATGTTCTGCGGCGACAGAGGTCACCTGTTACGCAAGCTTCAGGCGCTGAATGTTTCAGCGGCCAGCGCTCACCAAAGTCCAAATAAATCAGTCGTCAGTCAGCTGTTTGCGTGATAAACGGCAGCTGTCTGGTGCAGTCACCAGTCCCCTGTGTCACCAGTCACCCCTGATCATCCGGCCCTTCCCCGCTGGCCGGGTCGGGAGACACCAGATATGATCACCAATCTGCACGTGCTGCCCGAGGAGCCTGCTGTGCGCCCCGCCGCGGATAAAGGCTCCACAGGGACCACAACAGACCTTTCTTCCAGCGGTTCTTATTTACGGCCAGGTAAGCTGATTTGTCATCCGGCCCAGACAGACATGGCAGGTCGGTGCTTATTTCCCCACTGGAAGTGTGTTGACTGGGACTGGTCGTGTTATGACGGTAGATTGAGACGTTGGCTCGCTGATGTTTAGCGGCGCGCTGGTTCAGTCATGGTTTTATGCTTCTCTCCCGCTGCCCAGACTCGCCTCACTCACCTCAGCGGGGATCATGGGAAGGTATCGCTCGAAGTTAGGGTCCATGATGTGCGACAGCAGCTGCCCCTTGATAATGATCGGGATCTGTATCCGGTAGCCTGCAATAAAACCGGGCTCCTGTCAGAAACCGTGCGGGCTGGCTGGTGGTGGCTTTCTATTGGCCGACACCCGGTATCGGTTTTGGTGAGCGGCTGGGTGAAGGTGGGGACGGGACGAGGGACGCAGAGGAGCGGGGACACACCTGTTTAACACCTGGACAGCGGCTGTTGGTGACCGCAGTGGACCGAGCACACCTCTATCGGCCGCCGATCAGCCCGGTCCGGCCGGTAAAAATAGTGCCGGTGGGTCGGTCGGTGCCGGCGGCGGCCGGTCGGCGCGGCGCACAGGGAGCGGAGGAGGGCGCGCGGCCCGCTGACACCCCGCTGCTCGGCCGATTAGTTCGGCACCCGTGCCCGGGCCGGCGGCAGTCACCACTCAGCGTCTGGGGCGGCTGCGGTCGCCGGCCAGGTGCCGGGCTCTGTCCCACAGCGCCAATTAGTCCCCGGCCGGTCCGGCGCCCAGGATTTACCGGCGACGCACGACACAAATATCACCCGTGGCAGCTCAGTTGGGCGCATTTTCACAGGTAATTAACACGGTGATTTGCTGAAATGAAATTACTCAATAGAACTAGCCGGAACAGCAGGCGCTAAGGAGCAATCAGCGCACAAATTAGATGTCATCATTTAACCGTAACTGCTGCAGCTACTTAATTAGACAGCGTATGCTGTACAATAGGGCACTGTTCTCACCGTTGAGATGAAGATAAGACTTAAAGGTGCACAATAAAATATCCAGTGCTTGTGCAATTTTCAAGTTGCAGCTACTCTGTCACGCTGTCACATTTATGTTCGTTATTCATGTAAGAATGTTTATTTTACGCTTCCTACATGTTTCGATAAGTTTTCTGTAAAACGAGCGCTGCTGTAAAAGTGAAGTTTTCGGATAATTGTAAAAATCATCATGTGGTTTGTTGACAGGTGAGGCACGTCATATTACACATTTGCCGTATGATCAAACAGCCGTGTTACGGTCTGGCCGCTGCTGCCATCACAATTAGCCTCTCTGTCCGGAGCGCCATCGCCGTGCCAAGCGAAAGTGATACGTTACGTCTGCTGATATCGCCACTGCAAGCGCAGTCATAACAGTTACCAGGTGTTTATGTTACTGCGGCCGCGATCAAAGCTAATTGACGGCCTGCATTGCACAATGTGCAGACCGCTAGCCAAGCCCTATCCTTGACGGGGCGATTCCAATGGGTGAGTCGGACCGCGTAATTACACGATATCACCAATGAAATCATCCTCTGGTCATACACAGGTGACGCAAGGCTCCCGTGTCGTTTCTCACATGGCAGCCGCCATTCGGAGGGAGTCCCCTCCACTTGGACTAGTGTCAGTTGGTCTAGTATCGTTTGGGCTAGTTCATTTGGTCTAGTGCTTTATTTGGTCTAGTGCCACTTGAGCTAGCTTCATTTGAGCTAGTGTCATATTTGGTCTAGTTCATTTGTGCTAGTTCCCGAAATTTATTTGAAATATATAGTTCCCTGAGATGCTCGGCCATGTTTACCATGAAAAAGTTCGGTCTCGTTGTCGTATATATTTCGTTCGTTCGATTATGTATAACATCTTGATAACCCGCCCAAATCTTGATGTTTCGGATTTAAACGTACAGTGTGATAGCATATCCCACGCCACGAAGGAATTCCGCCCGCTCTATGGTGCCTTCCGCTAGTCTGGTTATAAGTGTTGTCAGGCGTTTATTCATATTTTTAACAGTTTTCTTGGATTTTTGAACGTCATGAAAGCTGCCTCGTTAAGTTCTGTAAAAAATAAAATAACCGCAAAATCTTTTCCTCGTGGGCCTAATTATTGTGCCAAGCATGATAATACACCTCCATCATGGAAATGAGTCTGCTGAAAGCTAGACGAAATTACGGCACTAGACCAAAGGCACTAGCTCAAATGAATGGCACTTTGGCACTAGCTCAAACGAAAATAGCCAAACTGGCGCTAGACCAGCTGAAGCACTAGACCAATTGCACTAGCTCAAAAGGCACTAGACCAAATGATGCTAGACGAAGAGAGTGGCACCCTTCGGAGGGAGGCTCATTTTACTGGCGATCGCTCCACTGCACTATGGTTGGAAACGGCCTCACGGATGGCCGGGGGTCAACGCGAAAAAATGTTTTGCCCATAACTTGTTAATGCGTAGACCGACTGCGATGAAACTTTGCATAGGTATACCAGTGTCTTTCGTGCATCATACAGTAACTCAGAAATGACGAGGTCACGTCACGTCACGCGTGTGTGACGTCATCATTGCAAGTATGTCATAAGTCGCCTATGTCTTTCGTTATGTTATCGATATCGTGAGGCATTTTGAACATGTTTTGAATACAGCTATTACTGAATGGATATTGTTGTTATGCTTTAGGGCGAGAAATATCAACGTAGTGACGCACAGTGTCCTACTATTGGTCATAAAGGGTCACAAATTTGGAGAAAGAGTATTTATGATTTTTTTTTAGATTAGGCAAAAAAGTAAGAAATAAAATGACGATCAAATGACAAAACATGCGTCAGATTAACCCGGCAGTTGCTGGGGTATTTCCCCATCCGCCGTTTGCCGGGGGGGGGGGGCGTTCAACGCCCCCAGCCGATAACTCGCGAACAAATAGGCGCAGCGAAACGCACGAGGCGCGGCAAACGAAAGAAGAACGCGACGAGACGATTCACATGAATACTTTAAAGCTGAATTTCGAGGTCACAGGTCGGGTCAAGGTCAGGTCAAACACTTGAAATCGGGCTTTCAGTAGCATGGACTTTAGAACCTCGCAATCGGTGCCTCGCGTTTCGCGTTTCGATTATATCGTCATCAGTTGGTCCTAAATAAATTCAGTCATCAGTTGGTCCTAAACAATCTGTCACAACTGTCACAACTGTCACAACCCTTCATATAAGTGCTAAAAGAGTGTCAGATCAATGTAGGGGTCAGTCAAGCATAGGCCACTGGCCAGGGTCAAAGTCAGGTCAATCAGGTAAGCACATAACCCCGAAAATTAAAACTGGTACCTATCCGCAGCCCATGCATGACACATGTTTTATGGGTACTTTTGGGCGTAGAACACGATGGTGACATTCATTTTATCATACGAGTACGTGGCTGGTTGAAAAAAGATCAATTTCAGAAATGCATGCGTCATGGTCGTGAAGTAGTCACGAGAAATTGCCAACATTCAGTTCAAGATTTTGGAAACTGTAGAACGATGATCAAAAACCATAGATAGCCATTTGATTTGCCATGGTATTGGCAGTGTAATGGAGTTTACAGCATGTCTGTATGTCTGTTCTGTCAGTGGATATCCATATCCATACTCCAGGATATCCATACACGTTTGCACGATATTCATACTCCAGGTGCAGGGGCGAGCAGTTACTTCTTACGAGGGGTGCGGAGTCGAAGTCAGAGTCGGAGTCGGAGTCGGAGTCGGAGTCAGAGTCGCCCAGAGTCGTGGCAACGAGCCAGGAGTCGGAGTCGGAGTCGGGGTCGGTCAGGAGCCCGCAGTGGAAGTCGGAGTCGGTCCGAATCGGAACAGCTCCATCGCGACTCCGAAACACTGGCAGGGGTCCGGAGTCGGAGACAGAGTCGGCCGGAGTCATGGCAACGAGTCAGGAGTCGGAGTCGTAGTCGGAGTCGGATTTGGCGCCACCACGACTCCGCAAGCCTGCTTCTTACCATCATTTATAAGGATAAGCGATTGCAAGACTGACGAGCCGACCTGGTGCTAACGAAGCGACGGGTAGGTACGCCTCGGGAGATGACGCTTCACGGACGATTTTGCGCACAAGTGCGCAGTCTGCTTTTACGTTCCCCTTACGCAGAATTGAACAGCGATTTATTCTGCCAAAAAGCTCAATGGAGGTCGATGGAGAACTTTTTGTATGTCCAATGAAACATAAACGCAATTTTGCAAATATTGCTGTGGTGACACTGCAAACAGAATGCAATGCCGTTCCTGATTTTGAACACGCATGGGAAAAAGAGTCACTCCACTCGATAGCCAACATAACAAGGATTATTTTGATATATAATAATCCAGTTTTACAACGTCATGGAGGTACTCCACATGCTATCACCAGCGCGGTTGTTTAAACCTTTGACGGCGCACCAAAAAAGTCACTGTCAGAAACTCCCGATTCCACGTACAATAATGGAGACTAAATGCGCAACTAAATAATTTTTTCTGCCCAATTCAAAACATTTCATCAATTTCCAACAGAATGACACCCCAAATATACATATATTCCGAAATTGCCCACGGCCATCCGTGAGGCCGTTTCCAACCATAGTGCACTGGCTCACCTGAGAACTGTTCGATCTGGTCTGGGTCGATCCAGAGTCCGAGGTCGTCTGAGTGCTCGCCGCGGTGCCGACGACCCCGGTCGGAGCCTCCCGGTCTCCTCCGGCCCTGTCTGCCTCGACCCGTAGTGTCTCCGGCGGCTCCGGAAGGGTCGGCCGCCGCTGGGGCGCTAGGGGAGTCCACAGCGGTGGAATCAGAGGAATCTGAGGAAGTGGAAGGATCGGACGAACTGGAGGAACCCGGAGAATCAGAGGAGCCGCTGGAGTCTCCGCCACGAGGTCTCGATGGACCTCGGGATCCTCCCGGACCGCGCCGCCGCTGGCCGCGCCGCCGCTGACCGCGCTGACGCCGACCGCGCTGACGGCGCTGACCTCGCTGGCCGCGTGGCCGGCCGGAGGTCGCTGAGCGCCGGGCGGTGGAGGAGCCGGGGTCGGACGGCTCGGAGCGCGAGCTGGTGGAGCTGGGCGGCTCCGGGGAGGGCGGCGAGCCGCTGACTGTGCGCAGTGCGGTGGCGTTGGCGTCTCTCCTGGCTGGCGGTGAGTGTGCGCTGGCGGTGGCTGCCGGCCGGCCGGGCCCGGCGTCCTGCTGCGAGCCGACCTGGCCGAGTCCCGGCACCAGCAGCAGCATCAGCGCCAGCCAGCAGCCGGTCAGCTCCATCGGGTCAGCTCGCACACACCTGGCGGACGGAGGGTCAGGTCAGCGAGGGAAGGCCCTGGAAACCCGCTGCGGCGTCTGTGCAGGTTTCCAAGCACAGAGAACATCATTCAGTTCCTCTTCACCCTGCACTCACTTTTTACCACTATGCAAACAAACATCTTCACCCACGTCGGACAAAAGGTTTTGATGTGTGTTTACGCTCTTTGTTTATTCTTTACCGCAGACAAGTTGTTTAGGTCTACCTACAGCATTTCAAAGTATCAGCCCCGGTGTTCAAGCATTCGCCGGGCCACAGCTCAAAGCTTTGATTACTTCACGGCATCTTGCACAGATGTCTACGCCACGATAACACGGCTCGTTGGCAAGACAGCGTGCTCGTCGGCGTTCGACCGAGGCTGGGTAACGTCCCAGGGTGCCGCGCGGCTGAGTGAGGAAGGGTGCAGGAGCGCTGGGCGATGGAAACACACGGCCCTCCCCTCCCCGACCCAGTGAGCGGCTACCGTCTGATCTCTGCCATCGACACCGGCCGCTGTAAACAGACTGTCAGACAGAGCGGCTGCCGACCGGGCTCACAGCCCAGCAGCGAGAGAGGGTAAATACCTGGCCTGAAACGGCGCCAGGCCAGAGCGCTGCTGCAGAGCGCCGACCAGAGGCGCCTCCGAGTACCGACGAGAAGTTTCAGAGCTCTACACTCTGGGCCTCACTTCTACTGTTGTCTGACCAAATAGGATGATGCATGATTGAAGCTAGTATGAAGTACTTGCAGGCACTATGTAGATATGCACCATTTATATAATATGTAATGGTGCAGCCTGGTTTTCATGCTGCGCTCAGCTGATGCAGCGAACAGAGGACACAGACCATGCCCGGCCAGCCGTCAGCCCGCACCGTCGCTGATATACCGACCGACCGCCACCCAACATCCATCAATGATCGACACAACACTTAGCCTGTCACTTATGCACTGCGAATTTATGCATTCACAAAGGCCGATCCCTGGCCGCCCGCCGTTTGCTTGCATTGTAAATAGACGGATGATATCATTGGCGGTGTTAGAGGTCGTTGATGAAATGCAGTCGCCGGGCCGGTGCGCCGTGGCCGCCGGCCGGACCGTGTCCAGCGATGGAACGGCCGCCAGCCGATATATCTCATCGGATCATCGACTGGCGGCGACACGGCACATCAGACGGCACCGCCTCGGTCAGACAGGGAGCCGCCGCGGTCAGACGGGGAGCCGCCGCGGCCAGACGGGCAGACATGTACCGAGCCAGACAGAGGTCTGGGAGTGGGGACAGCTCCGGCCGCGAAACAGTGCTGCGGACAAATTGCTCTGTCACACCGTTACAGAAGCAGCTGCGGCAGACGGTGCAGAGGATGGCTCCGGAGAGACGAGAGCTGCTCTGAGCCACAGTGCCAGCTTTGGTGAAGGAGCACGTCCTGGCCTGTGAGCACTGTCCGATAGCACGTCCGAGCGATGGGCACGGTTCGACTTAACCGCTGTGTGACCGAGTGACGCAGCACGCAGAGGAGTGACGCAGTGGAGCGCGGCTACCCGATATGCAGCGAGACTGTTGGAGCAGCGTGAGTGACTAGCTCAGTGAACATTGAACAAGGACGTTTTTGTGCATTGGCTGAATGTCTGAGTGGTATCAAAAAGTTCAGGAACACTGGCACTCACCGGCGACAGTGACTAGATTTGAACAAATGTGTAGGTATGTACGCATGGTAGCGTCGGTAATTGTCACAAGACCGTAACCGTATCTTAGAAATACCTGTCGCTGGCGTGCTGAATCATGGTGCCGCTGACAAGCGATTGAAGTGACAGCTGCCGACAGGTGACTGACGACAAAAGAAGCTTCCATCGTACTGCAGTGTTATGTGGGTTACCTAGCACGGAGAGAATGCTCGAAGTGGCACTGTGTGCATAGGCACATCCCTGACTAAACGTGGGTTAGGAGGAACTGATTACTGAACAGAGCTGTCTTTGGAAGTAGCACAGTCTTTATTGGATGGCGCGTGCCTGTGGCACAGCACTGACCGTGCAGCATGTGCAGCAGTTCATTGCACCTTTGTCACTCCGAGCAATTATGTACCGTTCCTGCGTGCCCCGTATGTGCGTTCTGTGTGTTCTGTGTGCGCAGTGCTCCGTGTGTTCCGTGTGTGTCCGTCGCTCGCTGCAGGTGTTTGCCCGCAGAGGTCGCACGCCCGCCGTCCCCGGTCCAGTGAACGTGCACCTTTCTCGCCGGTTACCGCTCTGTTTGACCGATAGGGCCGTGATAGGACGCCTTCTTCCGCCGGCGCCAGATCCGGCCGACCGCGGCGAGGGTCCCAGGCCAGGGTATGATGAGGTGGGGGGGGACGCTTTTAAAAAAAGAAACAGTTACAATACTCGTAAATACATCAGCTTACTCATCTCAAAAAGAACGATTCGTACGTAGCAGGAGAAGGAAAATGTGATATTTACTATCGCATCTGTTTTTACAAGTATTTGTACCTAAGTATGTTGGGCTTGCTAAATCTAGAATTACGCCTAGCATGAACTCATCTCAGAAGGCTCATGAAAATTTATGCATGGCCCATGACCTTATAAGTGCTTGTCTGACTAACGAACGGGATGCCGGCGAGTGACGGCCTCAGTCACAAAACAGGTCTGTGACGTCACTCATTGTACTGGTCCAGTGACGTCACGCGGCCACCGCAGCTGGAGTCGGTCGACTGTCCGGCCGGTGACGGGCCCAATCACTGATCAAGGCCAGCAGAAGCAGTAATTGGACCCAAGCACCTACTCACGACCGATGGGACGACCTCAACATGTATCCCTAAAAAGAGCAAAATTTGCCAATAAATGGCTGTATTTTTTATGAAATGGCACTTGCTATGGTTGATAGCGTGCAATGTCTACATCTGACTATTTGTTTACGTTGGAATAATCACTTAGTTGCTTTGAGATATTCACACATTCAGTGTGTAAATCACACTACATTGAAAAGCGCAACAGCTCTAGTATATTGGCAAAGTGCATAACAACTTCTACAATGTTTTGTTGTTGCCGAGCATCCTGTAAGCATGCATGTATTTGTGTAGGTACGCAAATGCTCCTCAGTGCCTAAACACTGAAAACTTTTTTACCATTTCCTGAAGGGTAAACCCGCCATAGCATGGTAGCTTGACACACAGACGTTTTTTACCACCTTCTAGATGGTAAATTTTACTCTTTCATGAAGAGTAAACTCGCCAGGGAGGGGTAACATGACACACAGACGTTTTTTACCATCTTCTGAATGGTAAACTCTTTTGATTTACTCTTGTCTAGAGTGTAACATTTTTGGGGTTACACTCTTTGAAAGGGTAAATCTTTAACGGAACCCTTTTCTAGGGAGTAACGCATCATCTACTCTGTGCTTTACCCTCCTAGAGAGAGTATATTCTTCTGGCCTACCCTTTGTCACATGGTAATGTTTACTCTTTCCTTAAAGGGACCCTCCCACCTTCAAAAAAGTTAATGAATTGGCATGAAAGTGATGTCGCTCGGTTCAGAAAGAGCAAAAATGAATATCTACCAAATTTCATCGAAAAATATTCACCGGTTTTCAAGATATTAGACTTTTACTTTTGTTTACTTTTTGGGATCTCCGCTGTTCCTAGCGACTTTATTTGAAAGTGCGGCATTTGTTGCGCGCAAAGCAGCATATACCACCGCGTGCTGCCGAACGTTTTAGTAAAAGATTTAAAAATCGTTAGATCTCCGCTGACGTCACAAATTCTAAGGGGGCATACCCATGGGTGGAGAACCTGCCCCGGCCACCCCGGCCGTGGCCGGGGTAACTTTCAGCCTACCCCGGCGCGGCCGGGGTAACTTTTCTACTCTTGTAAATCCTAAAAGCTGTCTCCATACGAGAAAAGAAAACTCACGCTCTTCGAATGTTGACTTCCATGGGCGTAATATTGCAAATCAGGTAGGTATTTACCATTTACTTAACTTGCCATAATCTCCAACCCTAAGACCCGCGTGTGGTCGCCAATGCCAAGATTGCTCTCAAATCCTGTTCAGTTTCGAAATTTTGGCGCGCCTTCGGCGCACTTTTTCAAAACTACTGCTTGACCTCATTGCCTTCAACTGACCTGCCACCAACCGCAACCACACCCGTTTATGAGCGTACCCGTCAGGGTGCTCATAAACACCGAGCGGCCATCATGCTTCGAACTCGGACTGTTGTAACCGGGCCGCGTGCTCTCGCCACGCGGAATCCAACGCTCTAGCAACTGAGCTACGAGACCGGGACCGGTCGATATTCCTGGATCGACTCCCTGTTTGTATTATAAGAGCCGCCCAACATTGAAAAAGGCTACGCCCGTGGATGTCAGTGACTTATTTTAGTGCTTTGCTTGGTTCGATCTGTCAATTTCTCTGTAAAGCTTCTACTATGGTGAGTTGTCTTTTTGTAGCTATTTTGAGACACAATAAAAAGCTGAAAACGCAACATTTAGGTACTCAAAATGGCATATGGTTTGGTTTGGGTTCGGTGTGAAATTGCAAGTTTAAGCAAAAAGAAATAATAATTTAAAAGGAAATTGCCTTTTCGATCATTCCAAAAATGTTCTTAATAATACGGTGTCGGATACAACGCTCATCCTTGAGCAAACACAGCATCCTATTCCATGCGTCAGAATAGGGGTTTGATGATGACCGTTGAGAACAACGTGAGTATATCGTCTTCCCGCGACTATCGGTCGCCGGCCGGGGTAACTTTTTCAAACATTCTCCACCCATGGGCATACCAATGCATTAGCCCCTTAGAATCCGAAAACTGCAAGTTTGAAATTCCATATCTCCGAATTAAAGCATTTTTCGATGTTGTGAATGCCCAAACCGGTATTTTCAGGCCATGGCCACCAATTTGGCTATCTCAACTCAAAACTAATGTTGAGGTGGGAGGGTCCCTTTAAGTGTAAACCCCCCAGAGGATGGTTACAGACTCACAGACGCTTCCTTCAGAAGTTTCACGAAGCTTCTGTTAA